ACTCACTGATTGTCTAGTGCAAACCAGGGGTGGCCAGACTCTCTGAGTGTCTAGTACAAACCAGAAATGGCCAGACTCACTGAGTGTCTACTAGGAACCAGGAGTGGCCAGACACCAGTAACAGCACAGGAAGCGGACATCAAGGTCCCTACATCCAGACAATCAGTGTAATGAGAGTGACCAGTGACACCATACGCACAGTTAAGTGACTGACATGAGGTGGCAGGTCCTGTGGGAGGTACTACAGAGCGCGGCTGTGGGCACTTCTTCCTGCAAGCCTCACCTGGACACGAGTCTATGCTCCCCACACACATCCTCTCCAGCAGTATAGGCTCTTGGGGATCAACCACATCACCAGATTGGTACATGTGTTCCCAGGGAAATAAAGTGTGAAAAAGGTAAAGTCTTCAAGACCATTTTAATCCTCAAGAATTTCTAAGTAAAAACATACATCTCCTTTGATGTTGGGTTACCTATACAATGAGCTGTGACCTCTCCACTATTTGAAACCAGGTGTCAGGTAAAATTTATTCTGAATTTGACTGAAATGGGAAACTGAAAATTTTACCAGAATTCTACTCTGTGATAACCACTCACACACAATTTCAAGATGAAAATGAGTCACAGCCGACTACACCAGTACACCCCTAAGAATAAAACTTTAGAGCTGTCAAACACGCACAGACAGACCTGAACTTTCCACCAGACAGACCTGAACACTCAAGCTCAGGAAGGCACATGACCTGCTCCAAGGCAAACAGCTGGTGCCCAGCAAAGCCACGGCCAGACCAAAATCTCCCTGTACTTAATGCAGGCTGTACCCAATACAATTCTTACTCTGTATTTTCTTATTAGAAAGAAAGGGCGAGAGACAGTATGAGACAGATATTCCAGTAATGTTTTTGAGAACCTCCCTGGCTAGTCTGTGACCCCGGCAGGGCCTTCACCCTGCTATTCCCTGTCTGAAGTGCTCTCCCCGCCCAGCTCCCTCACATCCTCTGATGGCTCATTCCCTAACTCCCTTCAAATCTTGATTCAAACTCAACCTGCCCCAGGTAATCAGTGGCTGCTTCACTGGTGTCAATGAAGTTGACACCTTCCCCCACCTCTTCCTATCCTCCACCTTCCATTATTCTTGTCCTTAGTACCTATGACCATTTAGCATATTATGTATCTTATTATTGTTTCTTCCCAATAGAATTGTTATTGTTGTTATTTGAGACAGAGTCTCACTCTGTCGCCCTGGGTAGAGGGCCCTGGCATCACAACTCACAGCAACCTCAAACTCTTGGGTTTAAGCGATTCTCTTGGCTCAGCCTCCTGAATAGCTGGGACTACAGGTGCCCATCACAACACCTGGCTAGCTTTTCTAGTTTTGGTAGACACAGGGCCTTCCTCTTACTCAGGCTGGTCTCAAACTCCTGAGCTCAAGTGATTCTCCTGCCTTGGCCTCCCAAAGTGCTATAGTTACAGGCATGAGACCCCACACTTGGCCTAGATCTCTTTTTTTAATACTATCGTGTATTAAAACGGGAATAAAACATAATGTCCTTTTTTTTTCTGAGCATGTTTTAAATTACTGAAAATAAGAAATTCTCCACAGTGTCTACTAAAATTAAAAGCAGGTATTTCTACAAAACTAACTGGAAACTCTTGGTAAGGAATATTTCTCCAGCATTATCAAATGAATTAATTTATGAAGCTTCTCCAGAGTAAAAATTCCCAAATGGCTAAAGATATTCACAAGAGGACATTCTAAGCGTGGAAATAAAAATAAACCCATAAGCCTATAAAGTATAAATCTGAGTAAGTAAACTATGAAAAACTCTAATAACTTGATGGAGATTTGATTAGAAGTGGTATAATGTATAAAATTTTAAATATGCCTTAGAAAATAAAAAATATTTTATTTTCTCGTGTAACTCTTAAAAGAGACTTCCTACAGAAAAGGAAAAGCTACTGGGTCACTGATTCTCTATAGCTCATCTGCTTTTATTATCACAGATGATTAAAAGAATAATTTCCTTCTAACTCTAGAAGAGGCTTCCACTTTCATCCACAGTCACAGAAGACTTGCACTCATCTCTGTACTCAAAGCCATAGTGATGATTTGGTTGTCCTTGTTTTTCAGATTGTTAGACATCACATTACACTCATCTCACACTTTTCAGTAAGTTACAGAAATCCATAGAGCTACTTTTGCTCACTGCTGTGCCCCCAGTACCTAAAACAGTGCCTGATGTCCACCACTCTTTCAAAACCACTGGTTGAATTGAACTGATTTGAACTTATGGATGATAAATGGTATATCTTAATATTCTTTTGTTTGTGAAAGTAAAATCCATAGGTATCACCACATCCTGATGACAGTGAGAGATCAACTACCACTTTACATCAAAGCCTCTGTTACACGATCACTACAAGTCACAGGAGAAGACTCAATCTCATTACATCAAAGCCTGTTACACGATCACTACACATCACAGGAGAAGACTCAATCTGGTGTATGTCACTGAATGGCACAATTTGATACAATGACTAAGCAAATGACATGAAGTCTGTTAACCAGCTTGATGAAAGTATTTCAAATTGTATATGAAAACACTACACTGTACCCCACGTTTGCATTAATGTATACAGCTATCATTTAATAAAAAAAAATTTTTTTTAAATAAAGTCTCTATTGGTTCGGCACCTATAACAGTGGTTACGGTGCCAGCCACATACACCGAGGCTGGAAGGTTTGAATTCAGCCCAGGTCTGCTAAACAACAATGGCAACAACAACAAAAAAATAGCTGGGCATTTTAGCAGGCGCATATAGTCCCAGTTACTTGGGAGGCTGAAGCAAGAGAATCATTTAAGCTCAAGAGTCTGAGGTTGCTGTGAGCTTTGATGCCACAGCACTCTACCAAGGGCAACATAGTGAAACTCTGTCTCAAAAAAAAAAAAAAGTCTCTATTGTCATGAGATTAATGAAACTTCAGATACTTGTGTTGTGTGTAGGTATGAAGATTACCCATGCACTGTGTAACAATGTATCACGTATTTCACAAAGCACGTCTATTATTATCTGCTCTTTATTGTGATGGCAACAAAGTCTAAGACACCGAGTGTCATGTAGCTAACAGGCAACAGAGTCTGACATTCCTCAGGTCTCTAAACTCCAAGTTCAAGTGAGCCTTCTGCTGGCTTTCAGCTGGACAGCTAAAAGATCACAGGTTTTCACTTGAAAAACAGTAGTCTCCCTATGTTGATGGGGAATATATTCCAAGATCCCCAGTAGATACTAACAGCATGGACAGTACTGAATCCTGGATACACTAATTTTTTCTAGATACACATTTATTTGATAAAGTTTAATTTGTAAATTAGGTATAGTAAGACATAAACAATAATAACTAATACTAAAACAGTGATTATAGCAATACCCCATAATGAGTGTTATGTGAGTGTGGTCATTCTCTCACTCTCTCATAATATCTCCCTGTACTGGTCCCTGGGTAACGAAAACCCCGAGAATTAAAACCACAGAAACAGGAGGATTACTGTAACCCCACCTTTGTGGCGGCCCTCACTGTCCCCACAACCTCCCCACAGGGGGTGGGTAATAAGTCAGACAAGGCCTCACAAGACATCTTGGCATGTGAAGACTATGGAAACACATCTCTTGGCTATCATGTTTGGGTGCTTGAGTATATTATCTCTTCAAAATATTGGGATTTACTTCTAATTCCTTCATTTTGACTTTTATACAGAGCATGAAACGATACTCCAGCAGTGAATAAGGGATTCCCTGCATGCAGGGAATAAATAATAGCATCATTTATTCCTCGCCCCAGCCAGCATCGCGCCCCACAGCCGTGCACACTGGTCACTAGGGAAGGCACGCACAGGCTCAGCACCCTGCCCTGCGCCACACAACCAGCGCGCTCACCTGGCTGTCTCCTTCCACTCCATCTCCTGCCCGTCCACGGCCAGCAGCTCATCCAGCTCCGTGAAGAGCTGTGGGGGTGCGGGGCTGTCGTCCTCCTCCCCCAAGATGAATCGGATGCGCTCTGCGGCAGGAGAGACTGCAGAAGTGAAAATACTGTGGTTAGACACTGGCTGGACAACCCTGAGGCAGGTGTAGCTCCGGGCTCCATCTCGCTCCCCCCGGCTACTGGGCTTTCCTTCCACATTGTCAGCAGACATCCTTCTTTCTGAGCCTCCCTTAGCCCTTCCCTACGCCGCTGCTCCAGCTGTATCTCAGCGCAGCACTACTGTCCAAAAGGACAGCACTCCAGCCCTGTAGGATGAGTGACAGAAGGACCTTTAGCCCTCAGTTGAACTGAAGTCCAACCATCTGACTTCCCGTCCTTCCCCACTTATGACCCATCCAAAATTATTAGACAGAAAGGAGCTTGGACCAACCGCGTCTTCATACAGCAGTGGGAGGGACAACACAGCCCCCAATCCTGAGTTTCCCCACCTACCACCCACCCTCCTTCTGTCCAATGCCTAAAGCCATGTCCTCTAGGTTCTCACCACGGGTAACTAGCTAACTGCAAAGCTGATGAAGGAATAATTAACAAGACAAAGCCTCTTCTTTACATAATGGTAGTATCCAAAAATGTTTAGTCACACTTCAATGTACTTGAAAAACAAGCCCAAGTAAAAGATTGTACACCTGAGGGGGAAAAAAAAACATTTTCCAACACACTCAAGCACATAATTGAATGCCCTACTAGTTCCTTTTGACCCTGTCCCCTGAAAATCATGTAATGAAAAATTAACTGGAATTTCCCGCAGGTCATGAGTTATGGTCCTTTTCTTTAAAAAAAAAAAAAAAAAAAAAGGAAAGGAAAAGACAGAGAGGAAGAAAGAAAAGCATCTGAAAGTTGAGTCATCTTACAAAACTCAAGTTCTGGGATATTCTTTTTATCTTTCAATATCCTCTTCCTTTTTTTATTAAATTTTAAATTTTTTTAAGACACAATAAATTCAAGCTTTAATAAGACAGCATAAAATATCCAACTATGATTTGTGAAGTCAATACATTAAAAATATGAAAACTAAACAAAAATGATGTCTAATGAAGAGCCTTTATTCCAGTAAGTAAGCAGCAGTTGCTGTCTGAGGGCTGGGAAGGGAATCTCATGCGGTCTCTCCCGAGTATTTTTATGCCTTTAAAACCGCGAGTGGCGTGTGCACATGAGCACAGTGCAAATACGCACAAATACCCACCTGCTTCCCTGTCTTTATATAGTGCATATCTGTACATATTACACATATTATTTCTGTACACACACACAGAGTTGTAGAAATGTATGTACACAAGTAATCTGGTAAGGCAAGAAAACCCACACCATGTGCTTAGTACTGTAATACAGACCAGAATAAAATTCCATAGATAAAAATTTATTTACTACGAAGAAACAAAACAAATATTCTACCTAACTAGTAATGAAAACTAATTTTTACAATAAAGCATCTGTTTTACTTATTAAAATGGAAAAAATGAAGAAGGAGGATAATACCAACCTGGGCCTGGGCGGGGGAACCCTGCACCAGCCCCCCAGTTTATGTCGCTAACAGGCGCCTGACCGGGAGCCTCTCTCTAAAGGGAAACGTGGGTGAACATGAAGATGTTTTAACAGGGTCTATATCCCGCAAGCCAGCAATTCTTCCCCTAGAAACATGGTCATTCCAAATAAATAATAGTTATTCAAAGATTTGGCCATTGGGGTGATCATTCTAGCATTGTCTGTAATTGAGAAAAAGAGAAAAATCCCAAATGTACAAAAGGAAGATTGGTTACATGAAGTATGGTGCACTCTATAGAATGAAATACTGAGCAATCATACAACATGAAAAGACTGCTGTTTCTGACATGTATGCCATACAAAATTATGTGAAAAAATAAAAATCATAAGCATAGAAGTGCTCCCAATTTAGTAAAGAGAAAATGCATGTGCATATCCATAAAATAAAGCCTGTGATTAAGACAGTGCGCTTCATTCCGGCCGCCACGTGCAGTTCAGGCATCGCTCAGGTCAGTCACGGTGGACACAGGGCTCAGCCTTCAGTTAACATGCTACGTGGACTGCAGCTGCTCCAAGTGCAAGCTCTGCTGTCAGCTCCCCCATCCGCCAACCCACAGACGGACAGGTGTGCCTCGGGGCTCCACCCATCACAGAGCTACGCTCGCTGAAAGCCTGTCGGTGTTGGTTGGGGCACATTTGCCATCGGTTCTCCCAATACAACAGCAAAGCGGGTGCAAGCGTTGCCTTCCTGTCTTCCAATTATAAACGACATGGCAAACCCAAGACAGAATTGGCCAACAAAGATGAAAGTATAGCACAGAAACAAAAACAGAGAATGCTGGAAGAGAAATCTGCATCAGATACAGAGGTAAAGGAGACAGTGCTGCCTCTGCAGTGGTGGCGATGCCGCCACCTGCCACCACATGTGGGACTCTGGAGGTGCAGTCAGAAGAACTCAGGGAAAGGGAACTTATCCACCTCACAAATAAGGAAAGTGCTGCGATAAGAAGGATGGTGATGGCCTAGACCTCGAGGAAGCGACATTGCACAAACTCCGCATTAAAGGCACTCCCGGAGACACTTCTTCACATGGAAAGTACAAAGGATAAAATGTTGTAAGTTGACCTACTCAGAGACCATGACAATTTGTCTAGGCATAGAAAAAAATGTGTGCTCCGTACCATTCCAACTACTCATGGTAAGATCTTTCAAAGAAATAGATCACTTTCATCTCAATGTTCTGATGCTTTAACAAATGTGCACTTAACAAATAATCGTTTTTCTACTTTTTTCATTTCCCTATATCTTTACAGCCAACAAGAGACTTTAGTAATAGGAAAATTTTTTTTAATCAAGGAAAAATAGTAACTTTTTTCATCAAGTATTAGAATCATTTTGCTTAAATTTACATGAAATTAAACAGCACTGTGCAAAAGAAGGACTCCCTGTATGCAAGGCATATTTAAATATTCACGCGTCTTTTAAGTGTTACACAATTTATTTCCCGGGATTCTCCTCCATTCTCTTTTCTATAAATTCTGTTTTCTGCAGAATTCATTCAGATAGTTCAACAAATAATTACTGCGTACTCTAACTAGACTTAGCTTCACAAAGTCAAAGCAAAGAACTTAACAGAAAGAGTTTATATACTAGTGAGGAAAATAAACATTAAGAAATTAATATGTTATGTGAATAAACTAGTACATGAAGCAATATAAGAAAAAAAAGTCTGCTAAATGTAAATGTTGGCAGAACATTTAAATAAGGTAACTGAGTAAATATTCATGTAGAGTAAAATGAGTACGTTTTATTTCTAAATTAGAAAAGATGCCTTTGTAATTTCTTTGCTTTTTTCTGAGACAGTCTTTCTCTGCCACCTGGGCTAGAGTGCTACGACCTCCCTTACCTCACTGCAACCTCTTACTCCTGGGCTCAAGCAATTTTCCTGCCGCAGCCTCCAGAGGAGCTGGGATACCACACCTGGCTACTTTTTCCATTATTTTAGTAGAGACAAGATCTTGCTCTTGCTCAGGATGGTCTCAAACTCCTGAGTTCAAGCAATCCTCTCACTCTGTCCTCCCAAAGTTCTAGGATTACAGTCATGAGCCACCATGCTAGGCCTGAAATTCCTTAATGTCTCTGGGAGAAAAAAATCTAAACTTCAAGGACTTCAGTGTAAAAACATTTGCAATCCCTTTTCAATCAGGAAATGAGAAGTGTAATTATTTTAGAAGGCCAGGAGGGCGTCAAAGTGAAGAAATAACAGGCAGAACTGGGAACGTGGACAGGACTCAGAGGGGGCAGACAGCTCACAGACCTGGAAACTCAAGGCCCTTCATGCACTGCCATGGACCTGAAACTGACAGTCACAAATTTGGTTCACTTTTCTTCAACAATCAATATCAAATATCTCTAAGGAAGAATCAGCTTTTAGAAGAAAGGAGTCTAGGCAAGACAATTAACTTTCTGTCCATTTCTAAAGATGTGATTCAGGTTACTCCAACAGAAAAGAATCAATGTTTCTTCTGCTAAGAAAACAGAATCTCCTGTGTAGACAGCACACACACCTGCTAGGCTCAGATCCACAGAGCATTGCTCTGTGGCGTGAAATTCCTGATTTAGGAAGACACAGTCACCACTTATTAGAGGGCAGAACTATGCAGGATTACAAGATCACCTGTGGGTTCTGCTCTCTGGGTGCCATGCACAACACCTTCCACAGGCTGTCTTATTTATTAAATGCAGGCCCTTGAGCACAAGTAGATCAATCCTTTTAAAATCCCAAAACCACGTGTCATAAACTCACTTGGCTCTAGTCAGCTTCCCTCCTCAGTTGCCCTCCTGACCCTCCCCAGGACTCAGGAGCGAGAGGCTACGGCAAGTGCGCCGAGAACACCAGTCTGCGGAGGAGCGTCCTCTATGGCGCAATGCCCTTCCCAACTGCTGACATTATCTTCAACACAAAGATGTGTGATGAACGCAAGTCCCCACCGTGAAGCATCTCAGGAATTCATTTTTCCCATAACCTTCAACTGTGTCAGGGAATGAACTTACTACAGGAGACGGCCCTTGCCTTGTGCTGAGATGAACAGTGTGGACCAGAGGTGGATGGGCAGGTCCCGCTCAGCTCTGCTACTTATTAGTGTAAGACAAGCCTACTAATTAGGCTTGTTAATTAACCTATGTCTAAAGTCCTCCCTTATCAAATGGGATGATGATGATTACTACAGTAACTACAATAGAAGGTTTAAATTAGCTGTGGACGTCTTTAGTCCTCACTGGTAAGACCTGCTTGGCTTCTGAGAAGGGCTCTTCTCACAGGCGTTGGTCTTGGGAGCCTGTGTGTTCAAATTCTATAAGGCTGGAAAGCAGAAACCAGAGCTCCAAGGGTTTCACTGGTGAACACACGACATTCTTAGGCAACAGAGAGAAGGGGACAAATGACCAAACCCCCTCAGTCTCACTTTAATGCCTTGGAGGGAAAGGGGTCAGAATGTCAACTTGCCTCACATGTAAAGAGTTTATGATTCTAAGTAATAACTAACCTA